AAAATGTATACATTTTCCCTTCTTTATTTAGTAATAATAGCTTTAAATTAAATTGATTTTTTTAACTTATAACTGTATTGTTCATTTATTTGACTTGTGGACACGTTAGACCCTAAAGGATTACATCTAAAAGTGAATGTGTTTTTTTTTTTCAAAAGTTTTGTTCTTTTATGGTGTGTACAAATTTGTACAATATGTCTGAATAAAACAGGAATCCACTGGGTTTCTTCTTAAAACTTCATTCTCAATCTTCTGACTCCAGTCAGGTTCATACAGCACTCAGCACAGGCCTCAGCACAAGGCTTTGAACTAAAACCAAAACAAAACACAGCAGCCCTGCTCTAAGCAGAGAAATTTTTACCATAATAATGAATTGACCTTATGATGTATTTCTCTTTCTGGTTACACCTCTGGAGGTGTTACCTTTTACGTCAGACGTAGAACATAGCTCATTTTTGTTTAGGCTAAAAGAAAGAACACATGATAAAACACACACCAACTATTTGTTTATTTTAACCTTACCTACTATGATCAGAAAGTATAAAATACAATGTTGCATCGAACATTCTGTTCATCAGTTACAAAATTTCCTTCACATGCGTTATCTGTACCCACTTCTTAATTTCGACTCACCARTTAGCCTATCATGYATGTTTTTGGTCCTCAGCCAGGATTCAGTCAACCTTCTGTCTGAGAGGTGACAGCTCTGCTAACTGCTGTCTAATTTCCTCTCTTTCGTTAATTGTGTTTGTGTGAGTGAAGAAGTCAGTTGTACACTTTCACCTACAACAATGTCATATTCACCAGCCACATCAACTGAAACTAAAGGATCAACAACTAAAGCATCAACAAATCCAACTGCGACTGAAGCTTCAGCAACTCCAACCATGACTGAAGGTTCAACAATCACAGCTGAAGGAGGTTCAGCAACTCCAGAGAGTCCACCTACAGGGACTCCAGCAACAACTGATTCCGGTGCTACGAAACCTTCAACCTCAGCAACACAAGTTCCTACAACKACAGAATCTCCAAGTAATTTACATCTGCTCATTTTTTTTTATTGCTCACTTATTTCAAATGAGATGCTTAAAAACATTCACGTTTTTGTGTTAATTTGTGGTTCTTGTCTTTACTTTTAAAGACGCCTGTCTTTTGAACCCATGTGGCAGCGGAAGCACCTGTGAACCTCGTGCCGATAGGAATTATGTGTGTTTGTGTCTGGCTGGTGATTTTTACAACTATGACACCGACAGCTGTCAGAAGGGTAAGGGYTCATCGCTTTAAGTTGGATTTGTGAGAGAAAAGGAAGAATTGTTTTATTTGTTAGCTGAGTTTTTATCTAAGACCAACTGAAAATCCTCCAAAGAATGTTCAGCTAAAATAAATGAAAAATCACTTTAAGTCTCTGTAGCAGTCGCTATAGTGTTGTTAGTGTTGTTTAATTTCTTCTTTCAGCTAAAGTTTTCCCTGGACGGCTTGGTCTAACCAGAGCATTTGAATCAGACATGGCTAACAAGCAATCAGCGACATTTAAAAAAAACGCAGAGGAAATTATTTCTGAGGTAAGAAACCTTTAATGTCTCCCTGTCTTTTTGTTCTGGCTTTGTGAGTGTTACTGTTAACGCTCAGCTTGGAATTATTTCGAGTCAACATAACARCACAGAGCTAGTTGTGCTTAGCTAAATAAAAATATCAGATTTTATGGATGTGAACAAGACGGTAGCCTAACCAAAGTGTTATTTCCCCCTCCCCAAATGCACAGTTAAAAAAAGTGTATTCAGCAAATAAACAATATTCTGGATCTACAGTGCTGGAACTCGGGTAAGTTGAAAAATAGTCACTGTCTATTAACACCAAACACTACTTTGCACTTGTTTTTGTATTTTATTATTATTATTAGCGTTACAATTGCTAATATAATTATAATTTTTTAACAGGAAAAAAATAAACAGCAAAGTTATCTCAAAGACTACTGGAACCATTGAAGCCTCTATAGAAATTGTCTTCCAAGCAAATTCCGATGTTACTTTAAAAGACGTTACAGACAGTTTGAAAAACTATGCTTGTGGCAAATGTATCCTCAAAGACTCAGATTTTTATGGTAAGTTTTGTACGTGTGTGAATATATAAACAATAATAGCTATTACATAATATATCACATTATACAGGTGTCTGTAATTAATCACAATTGAAAAGCAAATCATTGTTGTACATTTATTGTTTGTTGTTCTTTCTTTTGTAGATGATTGGTGCATATTATATTATATTATATTATACATCAAATATTGAAATTTCCTGTGCTAAAGTTTGCAGATCACATTATTTGTTTTCTTTTTCATTTTAAAGCTGAAAACTTGTGCAAAAGCAATGCCTGTGATGAAAAAACCACAGAATGCGTTCCTGGAGATGGCTCTTTCTCCTGCCAATGCCGAAATGGCTACATTAAAACAGATTTTGCTGACAGAATTTGTGTGGGTAAGGAAGTTTGGGATGTAAAATGAGACAGCAAAATAAAAAGTGTGAATCTTTGTCAGACTTTACTACAAACTGACAGTGACGTCTTGYTATTTTTGCAGAGTGCCCCAGCGGTTATAGAGCAGACGATTCAACATGTGTTCGGTAAGTGTCTGTCTGTCTGTCCATCCGTCTGTTTTTATAGCAGTTTAAAATAAACCTGTTTTTTCCTCTTTCAGTTGTAATTTTGGTCACACCGGTTTTAACTGTGAAGACAGTGAGTATACAACAAATTCATCAGTGACAGGAAGGAAATGTACATTTTGTTTTTCCTTTGAGCTTTTTCATTTTTGTTTGCTTTTATTAGTTGTTCTAGATATTTGTTTTTTTACCATCCCTTAAATTGTGAATTGGAAAGTTTTCCAGAGACTCAAGAAAAGTGTCACAAACCTGCATAAAGTTGTATCTCACACAAAACAATAAACTACTTATTAGTGCCAATGATTTACATAAAAATATTATTACATTACTGTGTGAGGTGTCAGAATATTTAATTGTTTTTATATATAAAGTGTTACCGTATTTTCCACTTATAGAAATACGTACAT